GAGTGGGGCTCGGATGTTTTCGACTCTGGATCTAAGGAAAGCATATTGGCAGGTTCGCCTAGCGGAAGAATCTAGAGAAATTACATCGTTCATAGCCGCAGGCAAAGTGTATCAGTTCAAAAGGCTGCCCTTCGGACTTGCGTCAGCACCAGAGGTGTACCAAAGGGTCATGAGCATAGTGTGTGAAGGCTTATCAGGTGTGCTTAGCTACTTTGATGATGTTGTGGTGTACGGGTCAACACCAGAAGAACACTGGAAGAATCTTCGTGCAGTGATGGCTAAACTTCAAGACTGTGGCCTTCGTCTCAATGCAGACAAGTGTGCCTTGGGCATGTGTGAGCTGAAATTTCTAGGACACGTCATCTCTGCTGAGGGCATTAAGCCTGACCCTGACAAGGTAAAAGCCATTGCAGATGCACCAGTACCTCAAAACCAAGCTGAGCTGAGATCATTTCTGGGAAGCATTACATACCTTACACAGTTTGTTTCCAACCTTGCAACAGTGATCACCCCCTTACGATATCTTACGCAGAAGGGTGTGGTGTGGAAATGGAGTACAACAGAATCCAATGCCTTTGAGGAAGTTAAAGAGCTTCTGATTAAAGCACCATGCCTTGCACACTACTCATTGGAAGCCGAGACCAAACTTGTAGTAGATGCCAGCCCAGTCGGTCTTGGGTGTGTCTTGCTGCAAAATGTTGACAGCCGTTGGCAGCCCATATCTTATGCGTCCAGAAGTCTAACTGCTGCAGAGAAGAGATATTCGCAGATCGAACGAGAGGCAATGGCTGTGCTGTTCGGATTGCAGAAGATGCATTCTTACATTTATGGTCGCCACGTTGTCGTCTCGACTGATCATAAACCACTACTTGGCGTATTCAATAAAAACACTCAATCAATTCGCCTGGAACGGATTGCTTTGAGATGTCAGGACTATGACTTCACACTCACTTATGAACCTGGATCTGAGAACATTGCAGATGGACTGTCAAGATTACCTTTGAACGCTACTGTTACAGAAACAAGTTTTGTTGAGGAGCATGTACACTTTGTCAAAAGTGCTGATGCTTTGCTCTCAATTGATGAAATAAAAGAGGCTGGAGAGTCTGACCCTGAATTACTAGAGGTGGTGAAGGTACTTGATGGAACCCAGAACCTGGTAAATAATAAATGGAAACATTTTAAAGATGAACTGAGCTTTGCACAGGGCCTACTGTGGCGAGGTCGACGAATTTATGTTCCTGAGAAGTTGAGAAAAAAGGCATTGACCTTGGCACATGAGGCTCATCAAGGTATTGTGCGTTGCAAGCAACGCCTTCGTAGAATTCTGTTCTGGCCGGGGATGGACTCTGATGTTGAAGACTACTGCCGAAATTGCGAGACTTGTGTGCGCCTTCAGCCACTACGACGAGACACACCTAATACAGCAACTCCTCTTCCCGATTACTGCTGGGAGAAGTGTGCCCTTGACCTGGTGGGTCCATTTCCTGGAGAGATCTACATCATGACTGTTGTTGATTACAGAAGCAAGTGGCCCGAGGCTATTGTTCTTAAGCGTATTACAAGTGAGAGTATAGTCACTGCACTTGCAGATATATTTGCACGATTTGGAAATCCAAAAGTTCTGATCACGGACAATGGACGTCAGTTCGTAGCTGAGGAATTCCAAGACTTCATGAAGGCAAATGGAATACAGCACAGAAGAGTATCACCCTATTTTCCACAAGCAAATGGGCAGGTCGAAAGATTTCATAGGTACCTAAAGCACAGTATCAGAGCAGCAGAGTTAGATGGTCTATCCTGGACAGAGGTTCTGCCCACAATCCTGCAAGTTTACAGATCCACTCCACATGCCGGGACTAACATGACCCCGGCTAAACTGTTTCTCAACAGAGAGATAACAACAAAGTTGCCAACAGTACCAGAAATGGATCAGAACAACCCTGAAGAGAGGTACAAGGAATACCAGAGGAAGTTATGTGAGTATACTGATGCCAAGCGACATGCACAACAACATAACCTAGTACCTGGGGATATTGTATTTGTAGCAAATACAAAATCTGGAAAATTGATTCCCACGTTTGGTCATCAGAAGTATGTCATTGTTCGTAGCAAAGGACCAGATACTTTTGAACTTGTCAATGCTGAGACTGGACAACATCTCACTCGTAATGTGAAGTTTCTTAGTAGAGTTCCACGCATGGAGCTACCAGTTAATGATGACAATGACAACGGCTGCTTGGAGTCGGAAGAGTTCGCTGGGGCAGCGATGCCTCCTTTGGATCAACTCGGATCTACAGTCTCGGATGATAGGAATCCCGCAGATAGTGGTCCTCCCTACTCAGCAATGGAATTGAGACGTTCAACTCGAACACCAAAGCCAAAGAGAGATCCGGACTTTGTTTATGACTAGAACATTGTTTTAGTTCTTCTATGTTAAGTTGCGTTGTTAGAATGGACTTTGAACTTTAAATAGGTTAGGATGGGATGTTATATCCGGGTATCCACGCATATTGCAGGCTTGGCTGCTAAGCCTAAGGACGTTTTGGATACGTTGGATCTGACTAATTTCGGTGTAAAAACTCTTCTTGTATATTGGAGTCTGTTCCGTTACAATTAAAGACTTTGCGACACTACAGACGTTTTCACATATTCACTGGTACTCTGTTTGATTCATGATCACCATTATAGCCATGGCATTCCCACAAAACACGAGTACAATTGTAATATACATACTTTGCATAACGAGATCTGAATTGTTGTACTTTTATCAACACTGTAACATCATTATGTTCATATACACTAGTCATATTGACAACTTTTTCTAGTAGATCACAGGCATCAAGAGTATTCATGTCTTCTACTAAGCACATACAACTCCATACGTAGAGCAAACCAACATTCACGATCGCTTGTACAATAATAAAAGTGATTATGTACGAAGTACCAAATCGTACTTTACTAATGTTGAACCCAACAAAAACCAATAGCAGAAACTGGATATTTAGCGGAAGAGCTAAGCTTAGATATTTAACTTTACTATTCAAGTTGCTTTTATCAGTATCCTTATCCAATTCGTTGTTGTTAGCGCCACCTTCGAAGCTCTGTTCACGAACATTCTTGATTTTTTCAGCAAGTGAAGTGTTCGTCTCAGCATCATAGTTTGTTGTTAAATCGGCTGTCACAGTTTTGCCAATATTTACGTAGTATGAACTCACATATGGCTCATTTGTTATCTCGTAAGAATTAGTATGAACTTTGCAAATTTGGCTGGCTTTCAAGCTGTAGAGTTCGTGGACCGGCTCATTTCGAAAACACTCGACATCATTTAGTGTGGACCTACCACGTATGTGAGATGAGCGTATAAGACAGGAATCTTTGCAAATCCGTATCCACAACACACAGTACTCTGTCGATAATATTGTTTATGAAAAAGCGAGCACATGATAACACAAGTCGTCGCACTCTCATCCCCAGTTTCCGCGGTTTACGCAAGGAACGCCTGGGATTCTAACCTCCCTTTTGACGACCCAGAACGGCTTCTATTTAGGACTAGCCAGGCAGTAACTCACTAAAATGGGTTCTTTTCAACATAGTAAGCGGTCAGATAAAAAGCGATGCACTGTGAAAGTACGGTGAGGTATTTTTATTGAGAATTTTACTATTTTTTATTCCTATTATACCTCAGTCTCAGTAGTCTACGGTTTATACTTTGAATACAATAAAAAAAACTACTATAAATCATCTCAAAGTCTTATTATTTGGGCGTAATGGTCCGTATTCACTCATAAATAGCCGTCGGAATGCAACAGACATACGTGAGATTTTAAAAAAATAGGTGTAAAGAACTATTTTAAAACCATGTTTAATTATACTCGAATCACGTTTGGCAACGAGCTAACGGTGAATACGACTAAGACACTAATGGAAGATGGTCGTGGCGATCAGACACCTTCTTGAAATACTTCCGACAAACCGACGCTAATGAGAAATGGATAAAGATCGTTTGACCGAGGATCTCTAAATTCAACGAGACAAAGCCAAGTGTATATCTCTGTTTTCGATAGAATGTTGAGGATACCAAGTCACAGTTGACACTCGACTTTTCGCTGATGCTTGTTATAATTTTTGGATGGTGAGCGATCTTATCTACCTAGCACATTGACACCTTCTGTATTGCACTAAAAAAATATCTGCTAGCCCCTATCGATAATATCAACATCTTAACAAACATTTCCTGTACATAAAAATTGCAAAGCTATAAATGATAATCACACTCATTTAAAACCTTAGTCTGGGCCAAAACCAGTACCATCACATCGTAATAACGAAAAGTCCCTAAATGAAGTTAACACAGGTATATTTTGAAGAAGTTTTAACTATCTTTACTTTCTCATCAGCTAATGTCTTAAACACCTACGCTATTCTTCTCACCTAGGTTGTAGAGGATTTTGACTTTGAACAGTTGCCTTTATAAACTGATGCCGAACTTATCATGTGCCGAACTCATTCCACAACTAATAATTGCATAAAAAAATTCGGGCTTGTACGGGATTGGAACCCATGACCTCACGACCTCTGCACCGGTATCGCAGAGGTCATGGATTAAAATCCCGTAAAGGCCTGAATTTTTATTCAGGCCTTATTTTCACTACTGCTCAAGTAGTGTTCATTACTGCGAAGATCGCTTTCATATCCAAATAATTGCATAACTTGAATAGTTACGTGTGTCTTTTGTTTTCTTTCTCTAAAAATAACCTTTTTAACTGAAGATTATTCCAAGTGAAGTCTTTGAATGACTCCTTAATTGGAATCGTTATTAAAAATGCAACAACACGCAAATCTAAGCTGGTCTATGTTTGATTTAAGTTCGGCAGATAAAACGTTTGGCGTCTCAAAAGGCAAGTCTTATACATTATAGCATATTCGCACTGAGCCAAGAAAAAAGCCAATTTACACAGGCCATTTTAGTTGAAGGTTTTTACGTTTTTTTTTCCTTTTCAAGAAAAGAGACAAGTCATTTCGATTTCATCAATGATTTCTTCCATACTTGGTCTTTTTCCAGCATCTTGTTGCAGGCATCCCCGAATGAGATTTCGAAGCACGCCGCTTGTCACCATGGCAACTTGCTCGTCGCGCCTGTCAGGATCGGGAAGTTCCCGGATGCAAATCTCACAAAAGAGAACTCCAAAACTGTACACATCAACCTAAGCTCGAAAAGAGAATAACAATGAAAAGGTGAAAATGCATGAACGTGCCAGCTAGTTTAAATTGCTGTATTTTAATTATCTTTTCCTTCACCTTTCTTTTCCTTTCTTTTAGCAGTCTACTTACGTCAGAGAAATTTTGCCTCATTGCTATCCAAGCATCTCACTTATTTTAGCTCAGTGAAGGGAGAGAAATTGGTACGACTTCTCTCAGCTAGTTGAAGTTAATGTTTTTCATGATCTGTCCTGCGGCATGTTCCCTACAGACTGATATTTCGTAAAGCACCCGACCAGTTAACCAAGAACAAGGGTTCAACTACAGTCAGATATCAGACAAGGATTTTTTGTTCCGAGCCCTTCAGATTGATTTTCAATCTAATCATGAATAAACTTTTAGCAATCACAGTCAAACAATTGAGAAATAGAACTCCAATATTGAAATTTCAGACATACCTTGACGGTTTGATGTTTAGTATGCGCTTCAGGTGCACTGTATATCATGGCACCAGGACCAACTGTCATGGTCTGCTGCAAAATATTAGCCGCGCCATAATCTGACACTTTGCCTCGCCATCGGTTGGCTTGCCGCCAAAGTAACACATTGGCACTGCTAATGTCGCGGTGAATGATGGGGGATGGTTTCTTTAAGTGAAGGTAGTTTAATGCTCGAGCCACATCTTGAGAAATGTCAAACACCTCGATTGAAGAAAGAGGCCGCTGTTCTAACAGTGCTCGTAAACTGGATTCCATGAGCTCTGTTACAAACAGAGGACTTCCTTCATCGTTTGTTGCCCCAATGAACTGCAGCAAACAAGGATGGCGGCATCTGGCGGCAATGCTCATCTCTCGTTCAAACAATCTACGGTTGTGATCAGAAAGTATCAACTCGTACACCTGTTTAACGGCGACAGCACAGCCACAGTAGTTGCCTTCGATAACACTTCCCCAGCCTCCTTTTCCAAGAAATTTGTCCGTCAGCTGAATCTGATCCCGTGGAATGACCCAATCAGGAGTCTGATGGCGTGAACGTTCATTTAGCGCCCTTTGAGCTGCTGAAAGAGACGTCTCCAGTTCGTCTATTTCGTGCTGTTTGGCCCTCAGCAGTCTTTCCAAAGAAGTAAATTCTTCATTTTTTTCTTGTAGTTGCCCTCGGACACTTGTCAACTGATTTGTTATCTCGCTAACTTGTCCATCTCTCTCTCTTAGTTGTCCATCTCTTTCTTGTAGTTGCCCTTGAGTATTTGTCAATTGCTGTGTCTTCTCCCTAAGTTGTTCATCTCTCTCTCTTAGTTGGCGATCTTTTTCTGATAGTTGTCTATCTCTCTCTTGTAGTTGCCTACGGACATTTGTCAACTGTTGTGTCTTCTCCCTCAGTTGTCCATCCTTCTCTTGTAGTTGCCCTTGAGTATTTGTCAATTGCTGTGTCTTCTCACTAAGTTCTTCATCTCTCTCTCTTAGTTGGCGATCTTTTTCTGATAGTTGTCCATCTTTCTCTTGTAGTTGCCTACGGACATTTGTCAACTGCTGTGTCATCTCCCTCAGTTCTCCATCTCTGTTTCTTGGTTGCTCTTGAACGTTTTCCAGCTGCTGTGTCAACTCTCTAAATATTCCTTAGATAATGAAAATAGAACAAGGCATTTTTCAGCTTGTCTCACAGAGCGTGAACCGAAAAGCCAAAACATGTTTTTCCTTCTCCCTCTGGGTAAGTTTTATATCAAAAGACTTAGGAACTAAATCATTTTGGACTTCATTATAGATTGCTCCATTTTAGATTACTTGGCACCTAGCCTGCTATCCTTGTAAAATATATATGTAATATATTCAGTTCTCCTCCGTTACCCAATATTGTTACCTAAAAGCTCATAACGGAACTCGTCAGTCTTCCTAACAATTATTTTTCTTTACAAATTTGTTCCTCAACAAGATCCTCTTACCTGATGTCTCTTTAGTATCCCTTTTAACATTCTCATTTACGTCTTTTTCGGTTTCAGGAACAAATCTTTCCCCTCCTCCTTCATCGACTCCACTTCCAGTTACTTCATCCTTTGAAAAAAATGGAAATAGCAACTTAGGGGATAAAAGCATTTTGGTACATGTACATTGGGTTTCCCCGCCAAACGAAAATAAAAACATCTGTGCCTTGCTGTGTTTTTTTCAGGAACTTAAATATTACGTTTTTACATGATTTGCTTTAATTAAGTTTAACAGAATTAAAAGACCTATGCCATGCTTAAGTTGAAATAGGAACTTAAATACGCTTTTAATGGATACTTTTAAAATAACTTTTTACTAA